AAAAGGACCATTCCTTAATTCTTATCCTCCTGCTTTGTCGCATGTATCCACCCAGAAGTAATCACATCATGTCCAATCGATTCATCCTTAATCGTGGGGACCTTTTGTTTTCACTGCACTTTTTTCTTCTTCTTATATGTAGATTCGATAATCAAACATGGCCGCCGAGGCTTCTGATTGGCCGAGACACGTCAGGCTATAACTTTTGTCCTATTTTATTCATTATAGTAAAAGTTAACGAAAATAAAATGTTAATACGACACCCTTTAAGTGTGGGTTAACAAAGTTGAATCTTTCGACAAAATAGCCCTCATATGCGGGCTTCTGATTGGCAGAAATTAAGATATTTGTCGATTTCGCTCAGATTTGGAAAATAGGTGAACCATGGCCGTGTTCTGGTCAGATAAAAGGACTCCCTTATAATGGCTTCTGATTGGTCAAAACTAAGACAATATTTTGGTTTTGCACGGCCTAATACAAATTTCAAATATCAGTGTCAGTCGATTCGTGGAGACTTTCAAACTGTCGTCTTTAGACTTTATTGCGAGCATTCCTTAATGTTTAAGAATTGTTAAGGACTTTCTAGCGATCATATACTTTTTCGTTTGACTCCTCAGTGGGTACGTGTAACGTCCGTTTGATACAAAGTTTGCTAACTCTGTGGGCGTTTTCTGTAATGTCCGTAAGATGAGAAGTTTGTTTCCCTCCTCCATTCCTGACCTTAACGTCTCCGTATTCAACGCTTTTTAGGTCACCTGAGACAAAGTCTCAAGTGACCTATTGCGATCGCCTTTTGTCGGTCGTCCGTCGTCCGTCGTGCGTCCGTAAACAATTTACATTTTCGACTTCTTCTCAAAACCCCTGAACTAATTTCAATGAAATTTTGCAGGGACCTTCCATGGACAAAGGTCAACAAAAATAGTGGCCGGTTTAGTCCCAAGCCCCCAGGGGCCTGAGGGGCGGGGCCAAAAAGGGTCAAATTGACTAAAATTTCAAAAATCTTCTTCTCAAGACCCAGATATGGTAGAATCAAATACTCTTCATAGATGGAAGGGTCTTAAGGTGCTTTACCAAAATTGTGAATTTC